CTTTATTATTGTCCCTTCCACATGCTTCCAAAGATTAAGTTCCTCGTTTGCCCTGGTCTCCCCTACATATTTTGTTGTCAGCGTGGTTGAATTCTTCCTTATTTATAATAGAAATATTAGTCTTACAGGAAGCAGAATACGAAGGCAAATTATGACTTGAAAACTGAATCGACTACTTAGAGAGATTATTTTTCCCCAGAGTAGTAGACCTAATTTTCATTTATGTTTCCACGTTCTGTTTCCGCTGTAAGAACTATTGGTGGCCTAATTTTACATTAGTTTTCACTCAGTATTTTTGAGACTTCAGGTTTAGCGAGTTCTTACTTTGAGTCAGTTAAGTTTGATAATGAAAGTCTTTCTGTTGGCCCTCTGGTTTGTCTTTTCATTTAATAGCCTTTTTATTATAATTCCTAATTCAGTGTCTGTATTTAATTAGTTCGTTAGTTTTATACCATTTTGGGAATTTCACATTCCAAGAAGGTCGCTATTAGGATCTCCCTTTGATTATCCTAATTGGAGACATAGTTTTAGAGTCGTTTCACAGTAATGGCCAAATATGCCTAGTATACCCATAAATGCTCTAGTATTTTCCGTATGATACATGATTGCTTTTCAAAAGGGATTTACAACTTAAGACCCGTTTGTCGAGTTCGGTACACATTTTCGTGCCTATACAGTTGAAAAAGGTAGTTAAATCAGACTACACCAAGAATAAGTCAAAACATGAAGGTCATGACCGCTTCTATCCGCATTCTTGATAAATAATCATCCTACAAGTTCATGGTTAAAAAAGCGTTGTTGGTAAATCAATAGTCAATGAATGAACCAAAAATACAGCACAGTTACTGGGATTCTTTTCAGTTCAAGGTGCTTAAATACCCCCGCATCTAATTCGATTACAGGTAGCATGGATAGTAAGTAAGTAACCTTCCAGCCTTGTTAGACGTTCACGGGATTACAGCGTTACAGCTGATGCGTTCAGATCAGGGAATTCATCTCTACCCAGCTTACGAGCTCGTATTTAAGTGGTTAACATTTGCTGAGCTATTACGTCACTCAGTAACATGTTTCATACACACCTACATGTTAATTACGTAAAGCAGCTCAAAATTGCACCCGTGATATTGTTGCGGACGGGTTGCGTAATTCATTTCATGATATTTAAATCATTAAACGTGTTTATCTACTGACCCACGCTTCTTACAGACTTTAAATAAACGGGTTGTTATGTACTCAGCATACCGTGCTGTTTACTCAATGTCTTACGTAATGCGATATTCTTCTGTCTGCCCACTTTACTTACTTCCTCCCTAGTCTGGACCCTAGGAGATCATCATAACACATTTTAGCATCAATCTAAATGTAATTAATTTATTCGAAAATAGTATATAGTAAGATGGGATAGGATGTTGGAAAATTACAATTCGAGGAACTTATAATGTGTACCCTTCACAAGATGTTATTACTATGATCAGATAACATGGGATGGGCGAAAAATGTAACATGCACGGATACGAGAGATGCATGCAAAGTTTTAGTCGGAAACCTGAAGAAAATCTGAAATGAAGAGATCACTTGACGAGACTTTGGCATAGAATGGTCGTAAAAGTGTGGGAATATGGACTGGATTTAACTAGTTCAGGACAGGGACGAATGTGGGTCCCTTGTGAACACAATAATATACTGTGAGGTTCCTTGAAGGTCGGGAATTTTCTTGTCTAGCTGAGTCACTGTCTGCGTTTGACGAAGGAAACTTCTTCATGAAGTTAGTTTAACTTAATGTGTCGTTCCTCTGGGTTTTAGCTTCGTTGAGACTTAGAACTGTAGGTATTCGGCTCTGAAGATGGAGACATTATGTTTCTCCGAAACGTTGGTATCTACCGACAAGTCTACACCGCTCCAAATACCCCAGATCTTACTCTAGCTTGATAATAAAACTTCAAGTGACTTGTCATGTTTTCTAAATTTCGGATATCACTTTTACCTTTTTAAATACGCTCTCTAATTAATGAGAATATTTTTTTAAGCTTTGCAGTGAGACTCTGGTCTAAATGGATAGTCGCTTAGATGTAAGTAGTAACCTGAGTGTCGAGTCTTACTTTAAAGTAACTCTTTCCTGCACAATTTTCTTGAATATTCATGAGAGCATTCTTAGTTCGTTCACACATTTTTTATTGTTCCACTGATTATGAGGTCATCACTAAAATTAGGTGTGGCGAAAAACGGTGTTATGGCAAGGCACGTGGCAGTTCTTTCACAGAGATTTTAAATAATAATATTAAAACTAAATATAAAGTAATTGTGAGGATGTAAACTGGATTGAATAATTTCAGGATCATGTTTAATTGCAGACCTTTGTAGTATTAGCAGTGCTGAATTACCATAGAGCCTGAGGCGTGTGTCTTAAGCTCTTGGGCACTGGGATTGTGGGTTTGAATCCCGCTCAAGTCAGGTATGATTACCGCGCTTTTCTGCTTTGTGCTGTTATATGTGGGTAGAGGCCTTGCCACGGGCCGGCATTTCATCCAGGGTGTCTTCCCAATTATTGTAAAAGCTTGTTCCGAAACCTACCATAAGCAAGCGGAATAGATTTTCCAAGAACTGTTCAGCCATCGCAAAAGAAAGTAAAGTACTTGGCTAGCTAATTTATGCAATCTAAGTTTAATGAAAGCGTGTGGAAATTGGAGTCGAATAATTGTAAACCCGGTTTAAGACAAGCCGGCGGTGTACTGAGCAAAGGTTTTATTAACTTTAAGGCGGTCGTAGCCACCACACACTTAGATCGCGATTTTTAATCTCGTTGCGGACGTTGATGCTTGTCTCCTTTTTCGGCACGTTTGCAACTGAAAGTTGCTAAATGCACGTTTTTGCTCCGTACAGAATATTTTCGACACATTTCAGTTTCAGTTAAAATCAGATAACGGTAACGAACAGTAGACACGAAGACCGACATGCGTTTTTGGCTTTTATAAAGTGTCGGGGAATCCCCATGATGTCATCGGTAACCCCAGACAATGAAGACGTCATTGGTGCCATTTTAAAATAACCATATTACATGTCCAGGCGAAAAAATATTTTGGCCGTCTGCATGCTAGTGACATCTGGTTTAATTATTGGAAAATTGCGACAGCAAAGACTAAAAAGTCCGCGTTTTGTGTTCACTTGATATTTGAGAGTAGTTTGGAAGGGTTCGGTTTAAACGTATGGAACCGCGCAATTTCCCCAGTGGCTGACGCGGCCCTGGTGATAAGCCTGTGTATTTTAACTTCAAGTCATATGCAGTGTACGGTACTTGTTGTGAACAGACCTCTTCAAGCGCATTACGTCATGTGATTATTATTTTTATGCTCGTTGTATGACCTCATTATAACACCCAACGTGTTTTCTCATGGGTGTCGACTGGTAGCCGGGTCGTATTGTAGGCCAACATCCCAGTCCGTCGTCGTTTTATTTGAAGATTTATTATGCCAGTACAGGATATCCGCTCCCATCCTCTAATTAAAAGTATAACAATGACACTGTGTGATGTCAGAGATAATGACGAAAAAGAGCTTAGCAACAGAATTTAATTAAACGTGCCGCTCTGAATACCGGCGACTGATTTGAATTTGGACAGAATGCATCGTCTCTGACAATGAAGACATTACTACATGCCTGAGGATTCTTGCACTGAGATATAAATACACCGCAAACACAAGCTAGGTACACATTCACTTGTTTTTGTCAGAATTTCTGTATGCATAATGAAGGACTCTAGCCATGGAGACACTTCGTGTTTAACTCCTTGAAGCCAAAGCTCGTCTAAATAACATTTCGGAATTTTGTTCATACCGCAAAGAAAACACAGATCCTTCCATTACGCAAATCAGCTGGTTAATGGTGTTTAAGGAACTCTTCCCTGTTTACAGCGATATTCATGCAAAACATAAAAAAAATACAAAATGCAGCGTTGTTGATTGTTAAAGCAGCTGGTACATATAGTTACCACTTGGTTTTAAAGGTTCGAAGAAACGGAGAAGGGGTGCGCATTCAAAGCTACCTGAAGCGTCTGGTACAGCAAATAAATACGTTCTACGACATTAAATTAGGTTGTAAAATATTGTTTGTGGGACGAACATACGAACAGCATTTCTGAATCCGTGTCCAAATTGCAGTGCCTCGTAATTCTGAAACTTTCATACTCCCTTCTGCTGCGCCACGCTTTCGTGTACAGCGAACGCAAAATAACTCGGAACTTGGTCTACGTCACTATAGGAGGGGAAGGGAAGATGGCAAAGAGTCTGTCTTAGGATACACTAATTTTAACACAAAACTGTATTTTGTGAACCAAATGACTATTAAACACCAGCAACGTACGTACAGGCCTAAACCGGCACGTGTTACTTGTACAGCCTAGACGTAATAATTTCACATCTTATAGTAAACAAGGAAGAACTTGAAGTTAAACTCTATCGGCTGACAGTCTAAGTACATCATTGCTATGAAGTTTTACACGTAATTCTAACAAAAGTTGAAAAAACAGGGTGTGTTGATAATATGGCTTTAACAGGTGAGGAAAGTGAGTCATCGCTTAAATAACCTTCACAGTCAAATAACAGAAGACACTTCATAGTGTTGACTATAAATACACATTCAAGGGCAACATGTATTGCGGTAAAACTTGGACAAGTGTCGGAACCCAAATGTATAGTCTACTCGCGTGTGTGTTACGTGCTTTTAATTTTAAAATAATGCTTCTTGTTTCGTCATGTAGCCAGGAACCACTCTACCATTTACCCTTAGTTTGCTTGTAACAGAAACAAGAACAAAGAAAATGAACCGCAGGAAACAACACACCGATAGTTAAGTAGGCGTAAAGGAGCGGGTATTTTCAGGTGTAATAGGAGCGATTAAACCGGATAAGAGGGCGATTCCATGGAGTGGAGTTTATAAATATCTGCTGTGGGTTCCAGGTAGCCCGTTCGATGTTCAGGAATTAGCAGTTTCTCATTCTGTTTCAGATGAATGGCAGGAAAACTACATCAGCGCCACACAGCGATCCCAGCCAGGAACATGGTCCCGGGTCTCGGTCTATCACTGCTGCCGCCGTGGTCACCCATTAGAACTACACATAATCATAACAACGAGATCAGCACCTGAGCAGCATTTCGCTTGGTGTGTGCAACGGGTTGCTTTCCCAGTGCCAGATGAGTGTGTGCGCCTGCCGTGCTACCGGCAAGTGTGCAGGGAAGTACAAGCCAGACTCTCCGTTACCTCTGTTATGAAGCATAACGTGACCTTGATGTGTTATCGCAGGTCTACCTCGTATGCGTGTGTACGTTGTAAATTGTTTTGTTTTGATCTTCATGTTTACTATTGAAAGCCACTGCAAAACAAATTGTTCTTCACGTGTAATCATTAAGAGCACACCTAACCTCAAAAGTGATGTGTGATTCTTGATTCTTTTTATATTTATTTGCCACAAGCACAAGACAGTATTTCCTTCTATTTTACGTATAATTTCGGCGTTATAAGTGATAATAATGTTGTCGTATATCCTTCCTGTTGAGGAGAAACCTCCTCCAATACCAAATAAAAATCATTTGCAACTGGAACTGGAATTGCAACAACAGCATAGCATTCAACACCATAATCATGTTCTGACCGCATCTACACCACCCTCCGTCAATCCTGACGCTGACAGTCGGAAGATCATCATGAAGACGACGGCGGGGGCTGTGAAGACGTCCGCGTTGTCGTCGGAGAGCAGCGTGAGTAGCATCAGCAGCAGTGACGTCGCCAGCAGCACTACGATGACACCCACCGACAAGCCCAAACCGAAACTCGTTGTTAACGGTTCCAAGCACGCCTCCCTCAAAAGGTAAGCTAAGGATGTCTTCTGGTTTGATGCCAACTGCAGGAATTATGTAGAGGGACAGGAAAATCGTGAATTGGGTCTGGAAGGTAGTGGTCGTAACCTGATTTTAATATCTTTGGCTGAACTTACTGGGGAAATGGACGAAAAACCTCAGAATTTTAATCCAATACCTCTGGAAGCCAACGCAGGGTTTGTGACATCAGAAACGCGAAGAAAAGGAACCTTGCTCTTGCAAATTAGTGATTGCCCTCGTAGGTATCGTGACAACGATTTAGAACAGTATGCTACTAGAAGTCACGAGTTTTTATAAAGAAATGAAACAATTTATTGACAGTTCATATACTTCTAACGTAACCGAGGTCAGGAACGTGATTGTCGGTCTCTCGTTGCCGGAGTTGTCATTTGCTGCTTATGTAGGATTTGAGGTTTTCACGGCGGTGAGTCTCAAGATGGCTGGCAGATTTTATGGCGCAGAAACGATGTGATTCCTTTGCTGTTTCTTTGTCTTCCAATTTCTTTATGCAGAAACGATCACAGTGGTAATAGAACACTTGTAAACGGGAATATATGCTGATACCTTTAGTGCTTAATAAGTGAACAGTAGTTTCTATTTACTGAGCGCCAAAGATAAGTAATCAATTTCATTGTTTGAGTACTCCATATAAACTAGTGGGGTGGAGTGTGATTAAGACGCGGTATATTCAGCTGTATTGTAGTTTTAAATCCTATGCAAGACATCCAAGCAACATCGATATGTACAGTGCGATATGCAAAAGAAGCTGGAGAACTGAATGTGGTTGTTACGTTTCGTACTTTTAGATCATCTGCTGACATTCCTATCTCTAGATATGTTAAAAATCGTGCATGGCATTTATTAAAATCAACGAGAAATTTATTACTGATGTTTATTTGAATTTTAGATAAAATAAACTCAGATTAACTATCATTTTCTATCGTTCCTAATCATTTCCATATTCGTTTAAGGTCGACTTTCTAATATTCAAGGAAGTGTGACATTTTAAATATTTATGGTATTTCATTAGGAATCGTACTTAGCCGAAGACGTTACAAGTGTCGTAATAGGGAAATTATTTTCTGGAAAAAAGGTAGGTAGGCTATATTTGACAGCAGAATGAAAATCACTAGATTCCGAAACAGTAGGTATAGCAACTATGTCAGCATTTTACAATCATTTTTTTACAACTTACGAACATTGTTGTATTGTACCGCCGGAAATTATAAACTGTAAGAATGTATATCGCGATTTGGTTTTGCAAAATCGAGATACGCTGCTGTTTATATATCCCTTTCCTTGAATTGCATTTATTACTTTGGTCGAAGTAACAAATGACGTTTTCCTAATCTGGTTGGGTACTCGATTCATAAAGCGAATTTGAAAACTTTTCAGTGCACGGTATGCACACATTCATAACACATTTTTAGAACTAGGCAGGCCTGTATCCTGGTCCTATCAACTTCTCACATGGTCGTTGAGGCGTACGAAGCTACTATACAGCTCCCAGCAGTGCCCTGTCTGCTGCGCAGTTGCAACCTGGCACGGCTATCGGCCGCGTATTCCCTAAGCCCACGAATTATTTCAATTGGTTCTAAGTGTTCTGCTGCATTCTGCATCTCTCGTCCTTACAGTAAATATTAAAGTTCACAATTTGCTGTCTTTCGGTGTTTCTAGACACGATACTTGTTTAACGGACTATCATGATAACTTGCGTCTTATTCAGCGATGGGCTAGAAGCTCACAAGTTAGTCGGCACAAGACACCCTTAAAGCACTTTTAATCACGATAGGTCGCATTGCCATTTATGGAAAAGCACGTGCTTTTTAGGCCGTGAATGAGATGTCTGTGCCTTTGCTGTTCTGTGCTTGCGCCATTCCGACTAGTCGGCATCAACGTGTTGACACGGACTGTATTTTGTGTTGTGTTGCGATGGCATATTTCACATGAGTATCTGGCATAATACTGTTAAGTAATAAATTGAACCTTCGAAAATGTCGTCCTCTGCATAAATTTCCAGGCTTTAACCCCCCACCCCCCCAATTTTCGATGATTATGAAGAATACCGGAAGCACGAAAAATTAAAATGTTTTTACACTTTTTTCCGGAAGCACCTTAACATCTGATGATTTTAGTATGTGCGGTTGGGAACTATAAAATATAAACCACTCCCCTGACACTGCTTCATTGGCTATACTAAGAGATAACGTGGCGTAGTTTTGTCGAGGAGTTCAATTCCCCGTCTTTTATACAACCCAAACGTTCATTACTGTGTTTACAAGAACCGATAACCAAGCCCTATCATGAGTGAGTTTAATCCAGTCCACATTCTAATTCATTAGGTCCTTTTAATATTATTTTCCGACCTATGCCTAGATATACAAACTTTCTCCTGAACCGTATATCCTCTGTGCGTGCTATATATCCCGCCCGTCTCATCTGCTTTGATTTCATTATCCTGAATATTTTTGTTCAATAGTCGAAGCCATCCGTACTTTAAATAGACGTTTTTGGTTTTCAAAACATTTCATGTATGTTATAACTGCACAGCGAACCACTTATGACGTGTTTATCGAGTGAGTATGAGTACTTCCGGCCTGTCAAGAGAACGTGGTTCATGTGACGCTAAACGAGAAGTTAGTTCTCTTATCGTTATATTCGCCAGTTCAAGAGTACAGGACGTCTTAAGATGCGATGCAAGAGGAACGAGTTGGCTCGCCTCCAGTTGACTGCAAATAGTACTGGGCAGTACTGGCGCCAATGACGAGAAGACAGAATTATCAATTTCAAGTTGTTCATACACATGGCGTTAAAAAGCTGTGAGGTAGGACGGGGTAAACCGTGGCTAAACTGTTATTGGCTACATATTTTGAGACATTAAATTATTTTTCATGTCATGGAATTACTACCCTAAAATAAGCTACGGAAACATTCCTTTCCGAGAATTATGCTTCTCGGAAATCATAATTGTCTTATCAGCAAAGTAAAACCGAAATTAAATTTGGTAGTTTTGTCTCCCAGATTGTAAGCCCAAAAAATGTTTTCTAATCTGAAGAAAACACCCGAAACATCAGCTACGTTGAGAAGGTCCTTTATCAAAATATTGATTTTGTAAATACGTTTTGTCGGAAAAGAAAAAATATTGTTTTTCTTCGACAGTGTTTACAATTACTTGACACGGAATAGCATGTCTGTGTGTTTAACCTTAAAAACTACTCGACATATGTCAATGAAATTTATTATTATTATTTATCCATATTACACCTCATGCGCTTGGGCACTGGTACCGTGGGTTCGAATCCCACTCAAGCCATGAATGTTTGTCCGCGTCTTTCTGTGTTGTGCTGTCCTGTGTACAGGTAGAGTCCTTGCGACGGGCTGATCACTCGTCCAAGGAGTACTACAGAAAGTCTAATAGGATTAAATGAATGAATGTGTACCTGGACACCTGCGAGTAAAAATAATCCTTGTTACATATTGTCGGACGGGTTTGATTTTGATCTTGTAAGTTGTCGGATAAGTTGATACGTACTTACATAACGTGGATTGTAAATATGATTAGAATCTGCAACTTATGTTTGAAACGTTTTTGCACTTGTTGAGCATGTAAGGAAATGAAGGAAAAGTGACTTTTACTGCTGCTGTTGCTATTTTATCTTTAATTGCTGGTTATAAAGGCTTTTAAGGTGTGCAGAATTGTGATGAACGTATTCGGAAGACGTATGTACTCCAAACTGAGATATATTAATTTCAGGTGTAGATTTTTGCAGGGTGCAACTTCCTGTAAGAATTGTGAAGAAGTGGTAAGTAGTACGAGGATTATGACTCGAAATGTCCCGTTTTTTCCAGTGCGACGCGGACATGTTACGTGTTTTGCCGCAAAATATTTACATATCCTCACATGCAATGTTTATCGGAATAGACTTATATCACTATGCATATTTAGGCTATAATTTCTGTTCTCACGCTAGGTAAAGTATTACATATTTGCACTCAGTGTTTCAACAGTTTCAATTTGTGTATAATCAGAATTGTTGTGCTCTGACATTACACTCTTTATTAATCTTTGAATCGATGTAATTGAATTCAGGAATTCGATTGTTGAAAGGTATTAACTAAGGCTTTTGCTAACTGTTAAGAAATGTGGATCCAGAAATAATTTCCTACACTTAAGCCAAGTCCATGTTAGTTGATTGGTGAATAGGTTATGTAAAACGCTGTCTTAAATTTCAGAGTCGTGAATCCGCAGATGTGAAATGCAGGTAATTATAAATTGTGAATTGATGAGTGAAGGCATTCCAAAGAAGAGTCACTGTACGGCTTGTGGAAGTGGATAGCCGGACCCCAAGCCGTGTTTCGAACCGAAAACACTTAGGTCTTCATGGAGCATCTGAATAAAACATGTAGTAGCTCTTAGCTGGGTGAGAGCGTCTTAAGAGGTGCTTCAGAAATATGTGTTCTGCTGTAGACATTCTTAACCCTTTGAGGCCGAATAAGACAGAGAAGAGAAAACAGGAAAGAGTAGTGAGAGTCATTATATGTAACAGGGGAAATAGATAATTTTTTTGCTATGATGGATATCATGCATTGCCCGCTTATCCTTCTGGTAAAAGTAGGTAAGGCGTTTGATAGTGGGGAAGGTAGACCAATGAGAAGTGGAACAAGGAGAAAAGTTGAACGGGGTCTTTATTGCATTCGATCGCAATTTTAAATTTTGACATTATGGCATTTTGTTAAACTTTGATTTTAACGTGGAAGAAGTTACTTTAAAGAATTAAGTACGTATCTGAAGAAAAAAACAGCAATTCTCCATAAAAAATAAGATGAACTACTGAATGCTGTTTCAGGAAATAATCCCAGTTAACACTGAGAATCAGTATTCTCACACAGTCTCACTCACCCCTTCCCACCACAACAACAATAACAGGTCATGACCGCCTTCTTCCGAACCCCTGTCATCTTCCATTGTCATGGCATATAACCTCTGCAG